ACTGTGATTATGTCAAAATAACAACAACATGTAGGCTGTATGTTGTACACAATAATATTTGAATTGGCTCAGGAACCTGCTTTCAGCCATGTTACAGGATAATAACAGTGTTGCAGAAAGTGGCCGTGTACCAGCTTTTTCATTTTGTCTTTCTTCCTTTGGTTTAGGATTCTTTTTCTCTCCAAGTTGACTGTGGTCATTTCCAATTCAGTAGACTAACTAACTAATCTTATAAGGAATGATCACAAACAAAAAGCAGAGAGGGCTTTCAAATTGCAGTGGGTGGTTTCTAGCAATTTTGGTTTTTTAAATATTTGAAACATATATTTAAAATTAAAATTCAGCTTCCACGCCTTTGAACAAAACTTGTACACGCACTGACGGGTGTGCATGTTTAAGGGTTGGGGAAAGAGCGTGGCTAGGTATGGTCTTTCTTCTCTGTTTTTAATGGCTAAATTGTCAAAGGAGGGAGCAAATGGTGCACCCACAAACACTTCCATTTACCCCTTGCACACACAAGTGCTCACACACCAGTTGCACACAGCTAAACATTCACACACCCATTTTCTTCCCAGTTTTCGGCAAACAAGTATTTGCATGTGCAAATTGAGGAACTGCAAACTCAACTACTCATATGTATGCAGTTATCTGGTTTGTATATGTGAATACTAATCACCTGTGCATGGCAATGTGGGATTTCACATAGCAAAGCTTTTATCCCCTTCTTTGAAAAATTTGATTCTAAACCTCATTCCTAAGGGATACAGATTACACATACTTTTTTAAAGAAAGAGAAATAAATGTAGTTAACAGATCTACAGTCAGAGCTAGTCTCCAAACATCAGGTAACATTATTGCACATCAAAAAAAAGGTTGTAAAGCCCAATTTCTCCAAGATTCAGTAAGTAGAGACACTTTCTTAGCAAGAAAATAAAAGGAGTAACAACATTTTAATGTAGGTTTTGATCCAAGTTATATACATATGACACGGAAATATTTTCAACACACACTGACAGACAGAGGAGATGCTTTTGGCAGGCCTGACATTTTCTCGGGGTGTTTTTTTTTTAAATGCTGTGTCTTCTGCCCATGCCTTCCTAAATGAGCAAATGTACCATATCTGTTATTTAACAGGCCCCCATCTGTTCCTTCACAGACACATTTTAAAGTTCTAGATGGTGGCCAGGGGTGTTGTCTTGGCTATAGTTATATAATGATAAGGACTTTAAAATTCTTACTGCTATAAACATGGAGTTAATTAGAATTTAAAAGATTTGGGGGAGGGGATGTTATTTTGTGAGATCTAAAACTTTTTGTTGTTTGATATTTTGTATTTCAAAATCATAATTTAACAGTGTGCATGGATTCCACAAATAATGGGTATCTAAACTACATGTTGTATGAATTTGCATCCGTTATTAGCAACCTACCCGATTTCTTCAATTTATCTACATAGTCCAACAGTATAACAAGGCTAGACTTGTACTGGAAATATAGTTATACATTTTCAAATGGCTCCTTCCATTTTAAGTACACTCCCTATTGCATGGGGGGGAGTCAGATGGAGTGAATCATTAATCTGTTACCTCACTCATTAAGAATTTAACATGGTATTGTTTTAAGAGAGCGCTTACGATATGACATATAATGATCGCTAAAGAAACTGAATTTAGCACTGTAGGAGCTTAATAAATAGCCCATTATAAAGAAGGGCTATATTTGCCTACATTTTGTCTGATGCGCAAACGTCCCATTTCTGAGTATTTATCATGAATTATTAATGAATCATTGTGAGTAGAAAGAAGCACAATTATTATTAAATTAAGTCCTTGGTAGATTTTTGCATTAGTGCCAAGAATACAGCAAGGACAGTGTAGATGATATGGAGGGTGGCACCTAAAAATATTCTCTTTACATTTGTTTGAAGTATCCAGGATGTATTTGTAAACAAGAATTTTTTTTTCTGTTTTTTAAAGTGTAGATCTTCTAAATAACTTATTTTAAGGAAGGAACGAACAAATGAACCCTTAACACACAACACTGCCCATTTCTTCCTGTTACCCATGTGGTGATTAGCAAATCGTTCCTGAGTTGCACGCTACCCTATGGGTAAAAGGAGCGGTTGCATAGGGCAGCTAAATGTGTGAGTGATGTCTTTCCATGGTGGACATTTCTAGCTTCCCTACAGCCAACACGAATAATCCAGTGCAGGGTTCAATTCAACAGCAGATTTTGAGAATTCGTGAGAATTTGTCCCTTTTAGGACCCTGTTGCATGTCTTCATATGGCTCTTATATTAAGCTGATTTCCCCCCCAGAAAAAAAAGGCAGTACTGCCCCAACACGGCCATATTGCTATTGGAAACTGCAATGGTTTGTGTCCATCACTGCAGCATATTGCAGGGCTTTTAGGGGTTTTTTTGTTTTGGGGGCGGTTCTTGAAGGACAGACAGAAGAAATGTCTTTTAACAGAATTTCCCTAAACAGCAGAGTACAGCGTGATAAACAAAATCACTCTGCTCAGAGACTCAGAACATATTTATTTTCTTTTATAAACTCCTTCTAGTGAAATATTTATAGGAAGGCCTGAATCAGACCTCTAGATCCAATCCTGCTGAACTATGGAAAGGGGAAGCATTCCAAAATCCAAACGTGGATCTGAATTTCTCCAGCAGCTCCTCTCGCTTTATTGGTCAAACCCCAACTCAGAACATCCTCAAATTTGTGGGCTGGGGTTGATGGCTAAATCAGAATTTTGCGGCTTTAGTCCATAGCTTGAACTACTCTTAAAAAAAGTTTCTGGTGCTTGATGTATTTGGCTCAACACTGTTGAGAGCAAAAAGAAAATGCATGGTTGCTCTCCAGCTACCATTCCTGGGGCCAGCACCTTTTGCTGGACTAACTACAAAACAAGCAGACTCCTATAGAGAAGAAGACTGAAAATCCTGAGCGCCATAGTATGAATGAATTGTAAAGTGCCATCTGCAATTCCACTTAGTGACGGTCTGCTTAAAGCAAACATGTTCTGTGAAAAATAAAAATATACTTTGTTTTAAGAAGGCTCCTATTTACTCTAAATAACGGAAGGTCCCGGATTCAGGGTTCTTAGTTTTAACCCCAAAAATTCATCTGCCTGGCAATATGTTTAGACTAAATTAATAGTGAAGAGCTCACATCTTTGTTAGTGTACCTATATACCATTTGAATTATTCCATGGAATCTGCACTATCATCCTCTTACCCTACATTCAATCCAAAATGTGAAAAGGTCTTCATAATATTGCAACTACCCAGCCAGAACTTCTGCCTTCAGATACATACATAACCATCTCCATTTAAATCAACAGGAATTGTACATAGAGCAAAATTTGGTCCAGGGTGTGTCATAGCTAAATAGTCTCTTCCTGTGAGCGTGGTTATCCCCAAGGTGTGTGAATAGAGAGACCTTAATAAAGTTGATACTTTAGTAATTAGGATATTTGATTAAATTGCTCTGTTTTTTCAGTACGGCCTTTCTGCTAAAAAAAGAACAAAAGAGCAAGAACCTGTAGCATGCTAGATACTGATGTTTTATAAAAGAATGAAAGAAGAAGGATCAGAGAAACAAATGTTGACCCTAAGTAGTTTCTAAATCTTTACGTGCTTATAAGTACAATCACCTTTCCTTCAGACATCCTAGGCCTTTGTGCATTTTGAAAATATTCTAAGAGGACAGAAAAATGCTTTTCCTACTTTTGGTACACATCTTATACTTCTGCATGTGCACACACAGCTCAATGTATGTAGAAACACATTAATATCCCAAATGGATATATTATTGTTATATATTAACATAAATGTAGCTTGAGTACTTACTGCAGAGAATGCAAATCTAGTTTAAAATCCTGTTGAAATATATGGTACACAGGTTAACTAGAACATGATTATGTTGCACAGCAGCAGTGAATGCTTTGGGTCATTTCCCTAATCACCAAAAACCTTGTTTATTTGAAAGTTTATTGAGGTCCCCAAAACACTTCATGTAAAAGTGCTGTTTATGGTGCATTGGTTGTGTACATTGACTAGAGAAAACGATGAAACTCTTCATATGGGTTTTTTACATACACTTGAAGGTGGCCTCACTGTCTTTCATGTTTGCTGACTTATTCAAATTCAGGCCTTTTCCTGTCCCTTCTCTAGATGCAAATTAAATTGATCTAGTTTTCCTTGATTTTACGGATTATTAAAATTACGCCCATCTTCCCCCAAATTAACTTAAATCGTGGATGTTTGCATGTTAAACCCACTCCACTGTCTGCCTGAGTGGAGTCGTTTTATAAACACCCACCAAATACACACATAAGGTAAGGAAACTTCATTCATTTTGATTAGTTACATCTGCTGAAAGCAAATGTACAGGTATAGAAGAAGATGGGGGGAATCATAGCCTTTTTACCCTTCCTCTAATCCCTCAACAGCAGCTTCTGAGCTGCTAGGGTGTGACGTTTATTGGAAACCAAGCACTGAACATGCCACTAAAGATCAACACAGTGCTTACTCTATCCAGCTAAATTAAAGGTATCTCTTGGGCAGCATATTGAAGGTGGTTGCACTCAGCATATCAACTTCTCATTTTTTAAATCCCAGAGAGAGAACTGTTGGGGGGAGGGTTAGAAACCCCATTTAATTACAAGATGTTATTCAGCTGCCATATCTTTTACTGTGACACAACAAAGGCAGACCTCATCAATGGTAGGTAGCTGCTGCTGCTGCCTCATTTGCCCCTCCCCACCTTCCAAAGGATTTCTTTATAGCAAAGACTTCATTTTCAGCAAGTCCTGCAGCTGCCGGTTCTGAACTAGTGCATAACTAGTCATAATTAGGAGGACAGACATGCTAGAGGTTCACACGCAGATGCCCTCCTGCTACCAGAAGGGCGGGGATCCGACAGAAACGTTGTGTTTTGTCCCCACCTCAAAAAGGTTTTAAAATAGTTCCTTGTAATATGAAAAGCTGGCCATACCTGTAATTGGGAGCTGTGCCTGCAGGACAGCAGAGATAACAATCCCCTTCCACTTCATCTTGCTCCCCCGGATTGCACTGAGGGGCTGGAGGCCGCGAGTTAACAGATAGTGGGATGGTGAGGAGAAAAGGCACCTCCACTGGCTTTGTTCTTCTGGCTGTCTCCACAGGAAGTGCGAGGTGTATAAGATCTTTCAGAGTCCACCTGCTGGCAGTGTGGTTGAAACACACGCTCCTTCTTTTGCTTCACAACCAGGAAGCTTTAGAGGTTTGGTTTCATATTCTTGGTATTGATGATTGAGGTTCTCTTTTTTTCCCCTCTTTTATTAGTTTTTCTGATAGAGCCTCAGAAATTCTAAATCAGCAGCAGCTGAACTTCTACAAGAAGCCTATAAAGTACGCAGGGCGCGCATAGTACAGTAAATCAGAAACAGAGGTGAAAACACAACTCAGGGCATACCACGCTCATCCTCGGACAGCTACATGGCTCAGGGGATTGGCGGAGCTTTTCATCTTGGGTCACTGATTTAAATCCAGAACCGGCCACCAGTGACCACAACTTGTTATCCTCTTTCGGCTACTCGGTGGCCTGCGTGAAAGGAGTTGGTCTCAATTTTGTTCCCTGTAGACAAGCGTCCACATGACAGGAAAGCACCATGAAATTTGGAACTAACAGGCCCCTGTTGGGTGTAGGTAGCTGGGAAACTGCGATGCCTTTTGTTTTAAAGGTGCTGCCCCTTCCTTTACATAGCTAAGAACTGCCTCTCTCGCCTCAGAGTTCAGCTGCCATTTTGTTCTCAGAGTTGCTGCAGCCTTTAGGGGAGGAGACGCACAGCGTACACTCTCCCGCAGAGACTCAGTCGGCGCCCCCTGGACAGGCTGCCACAACTCAGAATAAAATGACTGCTGACCTCCGCACAGAGGGAGAGTTCTTAGAAAATGTAAAGGCGTAGTACCTTTAAAACAAATGGCATTGCAGTGCCTGAGCTACATACGCCACATCTCCTCTCACTAAAGGCCTGAGTGGGCCAGCAGACTGAACAACCCTCTCATCCCTAGAAGCGGTCCCTCCGTGACGCCGTTGAGACACACTAGCAGGATGCAGTCGGGGATGTTTGCCCTGCTCCTACCAGAACAGTTATGCTCTGGGAATTAATAGGACTCCTTGGGGCTTTCAATCTAACACCTTCAACCAGCACTTAATATACAATTCAAAATAAAAGGCTCAAATGGGAGACTACCGAGGCACCTTTTAGTAGCCCAGTTCCAACTTAGCAAACTATATAGGCAGTAACAGAAGAGTTATTTCAAGTGAACAGTAACTTGGTAGATTTCATTCTCCAGGCCTCTTCTCTTAGTCAGTTGGCTAGCTGTTGTCGGCTGACAGTGTTAATAATACTGAGCCATTCCACAGTGTTTTCACTTGAGGAGCTCAAAGAATTAAATTAGTCTCAGAAACATGCCTGATGCAGCAGCTAAGCATTATTACGCCCAGTATGTAGATGGAGAAATTAGCTTGCCAAGGCAGGCAGAGCTGGGAATAAAACTCAGGAGTCCAGAGCACTCTGGGGCATGAGGCCCCAGAATTTTTAAAGGGACAAAAGGAACAGCAATGGGAGCCAGAGGGTGGTCAGACCACACATCTCCCCAAAATTCCCCGATAAGATTTTTTACCACTTACTTGAGCAGCAACAGGCCGATAAAAGGACCAGAATTATTTAGGCTGGTACAAAAGGAGGTAACTAAGAATTATGAGATGAAATTAAGAAAGGGAAATTTTAGTTTGAATACCCAAAAAAACCTTCGTAACAAGGAGATCTATTAAGTTATGGCAGAGTCTCCACCAGGAAGTGGTGGGGAACTCCATTTCTCTGAATATTTATAACAAAACTGGACAAAATGCTCATCAATGCAATGTTGTCAAATCTTGCAACTTTATAGTGAGTCAAGTCCACAGTGGAGACAGCAGACCTTCTCTGAAGAGTTAAGAGAGGCTTTTAGCTACCTTGACTATATGTCTAGCACCATGTTTATTGGGGAAATTACCCATTATTGGCAGAGGGAGATGGGTTTAATCATGGTTTCTGGACCTGTACTGAACAGTTTGGTATACTGTACACTTCCATTTCAACAGTGCTCAGCGTGGTTAAGCTGCACCTGCTTCTGGCACCTGTTGTCTATGATTGGTAAATTTCCTAGAGTACACAAAGCATACGTTCACCAGACGCTGTGTCAATATGCCACTCTCTCTCTCTGGCCACAGGCAGGCCTAGCACAAGCTTCTCTGATGCAGGAGGCTAATTCATCCCCAAAGGCAGCCTGTTTTCATTCTTGCTGGGTGTGCTTGCCTGAGGTATAAAGAAGCAGCAGGGTTTGGAGTTTAAACAGGAAATAAATGAAAACTAAAAATGAACCTGCTCCACAGTCAAACTGGGGATAAAAATAATGACACACTGCCCTCTGGCTCATGCACTGCTACCCAGAGACCCTACCCATAATCATCACCACAGAATGCTGGGATTAAGGGCAGATCTGTTATCAGCAGATCTGATTCTCCTGATCCTACCTAGTACAGTTAGTATTTGCAGACAAACTTAATACCTCTGTCACCTGTTAGAGGATCTGGAAGACATTGGAGAAAGTCAATGTCTGTAGAGCCTGGCCTATTTTCAGCAATAAATGGTAGTATTGTTGTCCCCAAAAACTAATTCAACACCAAGCTCTTACAATAATTTTTGGAGATGCTCACACAAAGATAATGGATACTGAATAGACAGTAGTAGTTCTGTATGGTGAGCAGGCTGTAGCCCACAGCTGGACCTGCCATTCATGCACAAGACACTGCAAAGAAAAGAGAAGTGTGCATATCACTGTTTAAAGTATGCAAGCTAGTGACTTAATATTGACAAAACGTAGTTTAGAGCAGCGTTTCTCAAATGCAGCCACAGCCTCCTGGGCAGGAGGAACTGGGGGTAAAGTAGAGGCCTCTCCCCGTCCCTGTTGCTCCTGGATGCCTTGCCTTGGTGTTGGTTGCTGGGGCTGCCAGAAGGGGTTGGGCCCTGCCCCCTCTGGAGACACACGGGGCACAATGATGGAGAAGCAGGCAGACGGTGAGTCCCCAACCTTCCCAGGGACGGTGGGGCTCATGCTATGGAGTTCAGCCCTGGGGTAGCAGGCTCTGGCCGTGGTCCTTCGGGCTCCAGTCCCGGGCTCTGCCTGTACAGCAACAGGCTGCAGTGGCGGGGCTTCAGGCTCTAGCCCCCCCGATGCTGCCCCTAGTCCCCCATCCAGGGCTTAATTTGTCCCCAGGCTTGGCAGGGCTGAGTAAGTCTGCTGTGAAAAGTGATAATGGTATGTTTGTTAATATCACTTGTGACAACAGACTTACTAGCTAGCAATAAATAAATTACAATGATTTGGATGTGTGTATGTGCATATTTATTTGTTCTTCCTAAAGCTAATTAAGTAAGTGTCAGAGCGGTAACCAGCAAGAGTTGGTGGCCGCACTCTGAGGCCACCAAAAAATTTGTCCTGAGAACGCCTGATCTAGAGGCAGTCCTATACTGCGCCTCTGCATTTTAGTGCATTGGAATTTATAGTGAAGCTTCACTCTGCTCTAATTGCCTCTATGTGCTAATCCCCTTGAAATGGAGCAATGATTGCACAAGTATTAATTGTTGCATTCCAAGGGGATTATCTCCTCCCCCTCTGCACATTTGCCAATACCCTGTAAGGAAAAGTATAAGGAGGAATTCTTGGCTTCTGCTCTTGCTTCAGATGCTCCCAACAGACAGTGAAGAGGAGTTTGTCTTACTACAGCTGCTCCCCTCGGGGAGTGAAAATATTGCTTTCCTAAGGCCTGCCACTCAGCTGCCAGTATCCCTTGCAGCTGCAGAGTGTAAACAGAAGCCCTGCCACATCTAAAGTGACAGGCTACTGTAGAATAGAAGAAAACAGACACCTGTATAACACAGGAGATAAACACGTCCGTGAATGTACATGTCCCATGGGAAATAAACAGGCATCTGTGTATTATACCAGAAAACTCCCATTCACTGCTTAGTTTCTTGTGATTTGCAGTCATCTGTTTCTGCTTTGTTTTTAAATGTTCAGCCTGATTAACGTGTTAGAAATATATCTAAGACATTAGAAGAACATTAATGTGGGGCCCCTATGAACATGCACCAGTTCTCAGCCTGTTGAACAAGCACTATAGTGTCACTTTCAAGATGCCTGACATTGAAAAGCAGCAGCTGCTTCTAAAACCATCAACAATCTGTTCAGACCACAATTCTCTGGAGAATCTAATTGATTATGAGAGAATGTAATATGTAGGCAAATCACATTAACCTACAGAAAGGGAAATAAGCAATCCCACTGGTCATTAATGATTTAACCTGTTAATTCCACTTTGATTTCTGTTATAGCCTATTTTGCTGGCACAAGTTTCACAGGTTTACAGTCCCTTGGGCTAGATGTAGGAAAACTCCATAATTCTTTTCAAAGCACACACTCCCAATGTGTTGACTACAAATATGAACCAACTTCAGTACTTTATTCCCACATTTATATAGACCTCACTAGCTATTGTGCATTAGTTTGGCTTATGATCTAAAGTCATGGTGAACACCTTGACACTACTGTGATCTGTGAGGCATTTATCCATTTCAGGTTCTTTTCCTTGTTTCTCTCACTTTTTCTTTTAGGAGCTTTTCCACATACTTAGTTGCAGGGCTAAAACATTAAAATGAGTGGGGTTTTTTTTTTGTTTGTTTTTTTTAATCAAGGCCCCAATTAGTAGTTGATTATGTAACTTGGTCTTGACTAAATGCCAAGAGGCATAAACCATATTGCACACTAAAATTGCCACTGAAGTTTTAATAGAATCATCTCTCTATTTCTTGTCTAAACAAAGGCTGCATTTTGGCCTACAGGTAGCTAGATTGTAGCACTGGATGAAGTGATCTTTAATGGGGATCATGGGCAAAGACCCAAACTTATACACTCCTCTATTGGGCTTTGTCAGCTTACCATGTTTTTGTGGTAGTCAGAACAGGTCCTATTAGTTAGACTTAAAAAAAATAAATAAATCTTTCAGTTAGAGATGTTGAGCTGCTTTACAAGCATTAGTCTCACAAGGGGCCTGTGAGTTAGGTATTATCTACATTTTACAGACAGAGCATGTGAAGGACAGAGAGGTTAAGGTCACAAAGCAAGTCAGAGGCAGAACCACAAATGAAATCAAGCAGTCCTAACACAGCCTCTCTCAAATGCGACCACCATGGCTGCATGTGGCCAGCAGGGACCTTTCTTGCAGCCACAGCCTCCTGGGTTGGGGTAGGAGGAGCAAAGTAGCAGCCCCTCCCCCCCCCCCATTGCTCCTGGATGCCTTGCCTTTGTGTTAGTTGCTGGGGCCACCAGCAGGGGTTGGGCCTTGCCCCCCCTTTGGAGACACCTGGGGCACAACACTGGAGGAGCAGGCACCCAGTGAGTTCTCTACATTCCCAGAGGGCAGTAGGGCTCAGACTTTGGGGTTCAGCCCTGGGCTAGAGGGGTGGCAGGCTTTGGCCATGGGGCTTCGGGCTCCAGTTCCGGGCTCTGGCTGCACAGCAACAGGCCCCAGGCTCCAGCAGCAAGGCTTCAGGCTCTAATCC